ATTAACGGCGATAATCGGATGGAACGCGCGGCCGACAGAGAGACCGGCACTTATCTTCCTACGCGACCGGGTTGGGTCCAAGACTTGGGAATAATTATTTAATTAATGGGGAGGGAGCGCGGCCGAGTCCACCTCCGCACCCGCCCCGATTCGCGTCCATCCCGTTGGAATCGATACTAAACATTTTCCCCCCGTCTGATTTGCTGATTCCAGGCTCCGCGAGGAGAGAGGAGACGCCGAGAGGGCACTCGCGTTGGACCAAAAACCCAGGGATCTGAGCTCGCACAATGGTAAGATAAATACGCGTACGCTCGTTTAACCGTAATTACAGTAATCGGCCGATAATACGGCGAATAACGCCGAGTTCGTATTATCGGGTCGAGGTACACCGCGCCGATACACCGACGATCGATCCTTCTCTCCTTCTTAGAGACGGGGAGGAGGAAGGAGATCACTCGCGCGTTTCTCTTCTCCCCTATCTTTTCTCCACTACTTTCCTCTGCGAGTCGCCGTGGGCTCGCGGCGCGAATATTCGTAATTGGAAGTCGCGGGGAGATGTTGAACGTCCCCTCGATCGCTGGGGGATCGCGGATGGAGAGGCGCTGGCCGCTCGAGGCCAGGCCTGGAAAGGAGGAAGGACGAGTTAACCGAGCGTGTCCCGGTCCCTTTCTCGATTTCTTTATTTCTCTGGCCCGGCCGAGCGTTTAGAAGGGCCGGGGAGATTAAGTCCGATATCGGGTTACCGGGGCACCACCGAACGCGCCGCCTTTCTTCTCATTCCCCGTAATATTTTAATCCGTTCGATCGAACCTTTTATCCCGGTGGCGAGTGCGCGCAAACTGGACGGGGGCGACAATCCCCGACGTTTCGAGTTCGAATCCGATCCCCGGACGCCCGGACCCCACGGAACCCCGCTTCTTCTTCTTCTTCTTCTTCTTTCCTCTTCCTCGGGGATTTCGACGACCGACCAACCGGAGATGGGGGACGTCGACCGGTGTGCTTAATCGACCGCGGTCATCCTCCTCCGATCCACTCGAATCTCCTCGCCTCGAGACACGACCGATCGAACAATATCTATCCACGTCAGGATTAAAATGCCTCGGATACGAAACAATAATAGGAAGGGAGGAGAGCTCCTCTCGAGACACGAGAGGAAAGAAACGAGAAGATTTGCACGGGTGCAAATAATATCCATCAATCCCTGTCGTATTCTACGTATTCCATTCTCGGGAAGGAAAGAAGAACGGGAGAATCGCGCGAGAATATGGTTTTGGTTATCGTTCGATCCGATCGATATACACACACACACACATACACATATGTATATATATATATATGCGATAGATTGACGAAAGAATCGT